GGGGGGGGGGGGGGGGGGGATGGGGGGTGGGATGGAAGGGCTGCTCCCGCGGATTCTCTTTCCCATCGGGTTCGGCTGCGAGAGGGCCCAGAGAATGGAGGGAGAGAGGCTGCGGTGCTTCCAGCTCTGGTCCCAGCTGTGTCGCGGCGGTCACCGGGCCGTGGGCAGCCCCAAGCCCTTTCTCATAAGGACATCTAGTGGCACCACGACGGACGGCACTCGGTCCCTCAGCCCCTCTCCGCCCCGGGTCCCCCCAGCCTCTGCCATCGGCTCTACCACCCGCATACTGCTTAACCCAGACAGGGGCAAGGCTGGATCCTGCCAGCGGTGGCCCTGGGACACGGTTTGTCACCGAGATGGGGACATCTCCAGGAGAAGGGTGAGCTCAGGGGGATTTCTGAGCTGTTGTGAAAAGGTACAGAGCTGCAGGACAGATTGTGGGAGGCTCCCATCCCTTTGCAGGGATGCGAGCACACTCTAAAATATACAGAGGTCCTTTGGGAGAAAAATGGACATCCCAAGGAGGAAAGAGCTCAGTGGGAGAGTGCTGGGATGGTGCAGAAGAGCACACACACAGGGATAACGTGGGACACCTGATGAAGGTGTCCCTGTTCATTGCAGGGGAGTTGGTCCAGAGGACCTTTAAAGATCCCTTCCAACCGAAATGATTCTGTGATCCCATGAGCTCCTGGAGCTACAGGACAGACCAACCCTCCTTTGTGCAGCAGAGAGGAAGGACAAACGGGGAGGTGGGGAAGACCTTGAGCTCTGCATTTCCCTAGGAGAAACAAGCAGACTTAAATACACAGAACACTGGGACTTGGGTTCCAGCAACAATAGCCACAGCTTTCCTGCATGAAGTGTGCAGAGAGCTGGGATGAGAGCAGTGACCCACACACAAGCATATCCCATCCTCTCATCAGTATCTTAGTCTTTCCAGAAACATTCTGCAGCAGAACGACGTATGCATGGATGTGGATATTTCATGGAAATAAAACAGAACCCACCTGCAAAGAGCTCCATGCAATTAGGGTGAACACACCCAGTGTGGAAGGATCAGTGCTGTGCGCCAGGCACACATCTGCCTCCACGCAGCTATTTCCTAGCAAACCTCTTCAGAGCATAATGACCATGAATAGCGTGGACTTGAAGAGCATTTCCATTACAGAAAGGGCATATCATCTTCTGTCTTTATTCAAATGAAAACAGTAATGAAATCACTGCCGCCTAATGCAGATGCACTTGGTTAGACATGTACTCGCTTTTTGGGTTTGTTTTTTGTTTTTTGCTTTTCTGTTTCATGGTCAACATTTATGCATTCCTGTCAGAGAAATTGCTTTAATTTTCCATTCTGTTTCAAGACCCTTTGCTGAAAACAGAAAGTATTATCCACTGAAGAACTGTGAATTAACTCCATCTAATATCTTAGGAGCAGACCTAACACCAAATGGCATTCACTTACATTTTTAATGTACTGATGAAGTCATAGAAATCACTAACTTAGAGGCTGGCTCATCAAATTTTTCTTGCTAAAGCATATCCCATATCTCCTACTCTGAGTCTCCCCTAGAGACCCCATCACTTCTTTTAATGATTTTCATTGTCTAGCATCAATGTTTTAAGGCTGGCCATGAATGATGTGGGTGAGCGAAGTTCTAAACTTCACTTGGCTTTTCATTTCTGGTGTCAGAATGAGCCTGAGCTGTTGGTGTTGCTTGTTTTTCTCCTTGTGCTGGCCCCCAATTCAGATCTTACATGTGCTCATTTGGCTTAAACAAGGCTACATGCAGACCTCTGGACCAACAGAGCTGCCCTTCCATAAGGACAGCTAGAGCCTGGCTATTGGGTTGTCCCAGCAGCCACCACCCCAAAGCATGATTTTTTTAGAGGTTTCTTAGTTGCATTTCCCAACATAGCCCTTTACATACCCAGTAGTTATTCAGCACACAAGTTTAAATCTGCTACACCAAACCTCTTTTCTTCCCCTTCCAGGCTCAGCAAGTTATTATTCTGTGCAAGCACGATGCCCTCCCAGGACAACACTACAGGACGGCATTTGCTTGGATAAAACAGTTTGGCATCACTTGCTCTTGAGGAAATTTGTGGTCTGTGCGTTGGGGAATGACTCAGTGGAGCCAGGAGCTGTCTGAAAGCCCCCGCTGAGGATTTGCTTTGAGCACAGCCTGCAGGGCTTGTGGGTGGGCAAACAATGTGGCTCAGGAGCTCCTGTTCAATAAAATGAATTTGTCTCCAAATAGGCTTCGCCTTGTTTCACTCAAAATACTTCAGCTTTCTGCACTGTAACACACAAAAAAAAGAAGGTTTGGTTGAAAAGCTGCCATGCAGCAGTGATGTCCATCTCCAAACATAAGTGGCTCTCATGCAGCTTCCTTGCATGCTGCCCCCCTGCTGGCCTGGCAGGTGGTGGTCCCCAGGGCTTGGCCCTGTCACCAAGGCCAGAGAAAAGTTAAGGACAAAAGTTAAGGTATCAGATTTGCTTTTGGTTCCTCCTCTTTTCTCTCTGCTTTGAAGCACTCTGCTCTGGTGTAGCATGCCGTGTACTGGGTAGAGGAGCACATCTCTGAACCCTCGGAATCCCTTGCCATGCTGCTGGTGCAACCAGCTTTGAGGGCACAATACAACACAGATACCAGCACCAAGGCCTACATATTCCTAGACAGTGACTTGAGTCAATACACAGTCGCCAGAGATGGATGACATTGGCATTCTGCATGCATTTGCAAGATCTCCTTTGAATGAGTCTAATATACCCCTGGTCCAGTATTAGATATGGAGGTTGGTGGCCCTGTGTTTGGCAGGGGGTTGGATCTTGATGATCCTTGAGGTCCCTTCCAACCCAAGCCATTTTGTGATTCTGTGACCTCTTCCACATATTCCAAAAGCTCTTCTCATTTCTGCTATCACATTCACCACCCACCTGTGGGAGCACTGCCATGAGAGCAGGCACCCTCACCCTCATAGGCAGCATGCTTACAAAAGTCTCATATTAAAGGAGACTTTTCTATTTGGGTGCATTACTCATGATGCCAGCCATTAAAATGGGCCTTGCAGACTGGTAGGAAGTATTGCACCCCACATGTTCAACATGTCACTTGTTGGACACCATCAGCCTTTGGAGATTCATTTACAACTCAACAGGAATGGCACTGCTGTGCAGACATACTTGCAGGACTACACAGGCTGCCCTCAGAAAATACATTTTCCTACGTCAGCCTTATTGACCAGGACATACCCACTCCTAGGATCAGCAGGGCCAGCTTGGGAAGGGCAGCCGGGAGCTGAGGCTGACCCCAACAAAGGCAGTACCCCAACCTGCAGGAGCAGCCCCACAGCATCAAAACACAGCAGGCAGAGCAAGGTTTGGGAACAGGACCCACCAGCAGTCCCAGACACAGAAAGCAATGAACTGAACCCAAAGTCCATCCATGGGTCTGGTCAGGAGCGGTATCAAGAACTAGCAAAGATCCAAGGCCCATTCAGGAGCAGGGCCAAGACAGCAGTTAGACTCACCAGCAACACAGCTCTGTAAAGGTGAGAAAAAGAGCTAGGGCTGATCTTAAATAGCTGCTGGCTTGGGGCTGGTCAGGGTCATTAAGGTCTTCTTGTGTAACCAGGGCCCTGACACCTACTCTGGTTCCTTGTGACTTCATTACCATGCAATTAGAGTTCTGAGAGTAGGGCTTTTTTTTCTTAAGGGCTTTCTTCTAATGATGAACTTCTGGACTGAATTCAATTTGAAGATGCACCTTTGGCAGCCCCAGAGACTGTCATGTCTTCCAGTGACAGAGTCATCTGAGAGGTCCAACAACCCTGATACCAAAGCCATCGTTATCTAAAATCAAAACGTGTATGGTCTGGAAGCTCAAGGAAAGTAGGGGTGAAACACTGGTGTGTGAGGCATACCTGAACCCAGGCAGAAACCCACAATCAGCTAAGTGTCCCCAGGAAAGGAAGTCCCCATGCTCACGCCCTGTAGCGCAGAGCTGCCAAAGGGAGGAGGAAACATGACCCAAGCTTAAGGCACGTCCTCACCATGGGGCCAGGCAACTCAGCAAGCAGGGCAATGCACACAGACATGGTGGAGGGTATTGCCCCTCTTTCACATAGATGAATGCAGCTAAGCCTACTCCTTCTGTTTAGATGATAGCAAAGCTCCTCAGTGATCCTTTAAAGATGTATTCAGCACATTCCTAGGTGAGTAGTTTCCAAAGTTAATTACCTTTCCCGTTAAATATTTGTGTCTTAATTCCAATTTGAATTTTTCTGACTTCAGCTCCATCTGTCAGCCACTGAGCCTTGTCTTTGCCTGCTGGATGAAAGGACCCTCTGCTATCAGAAATCTCCACCCTGTAAGTACTTAGACACTGAGATCAAGTCACCTCTCAACTTGCTCTCTGATGAGCTAAATACATTGAACTCCTTAAGCCTATCATCACACAGCAGGTTTTTCAGACCTTTTCTCATTTTTGCAGCTCTTCTCTGAGCTCTCTCCAATTTTTTTTTAATCCATAATAAAAGCGTAGATGCCACTATTTTATACAATATACAGTAATGCTCTCCCCACACTTTGGATGACTTTTCCATCCTAACTGATAGCCCCTCAAAATACATGACTGTCACATGCATTAATTACAAATTGGACTGGTGTCTTGCTTATCTGGCTTTCTAAACCTCTTACTGTACCACAGGTTTTGTTGAAACTCTCCCCAGATCTCCACATATGGATGACATTTTTACTGTGAGTACCGTAGCACTGAGCTTTCCATTCCTAAAAGGCACAAGGCTTGTTTGCTCTGCATCTGACAAACCAGTCTGCAACTTAACGCCCGCTGTTAGGGCGGGATTAGCTGTGGATTGAAAGTTCTCCCACTGCAGTGAGTCAGTCCTCGGTGTACACATGTATCCTCCTCAGTCCTGGTAAGTCCACCACCTTTGTGTGGAAATGCAAAGCCACATGAAACCATAGCTGACACTGCCAGGAGCTTCCAGGCTGGACACCTCTTCACTGGGAAACACTGCAGTTAAATTTCTTCTCCCAGCACTGCTGCTCATACCTGGTTAAATGAGAGGGCATGGCTATGGCTGAGTCCCAGCACAGAATCATGCAACATTGCAGTCCAGCCCCAAACACTGTCCAAAAAAAATATAAAGGAGAACAGGCTATTTTCAAGTCTTTTCCAGCTGCCTTCTTTCTCCTCAGCTCCCCTTTCAGCAAAGCACAATCTAGGACACACAACCAGTGCATGAAATCACTCCTTCCATCTCCCTTCCAAGGCCACTGTTGCTGGGCCAAGTCAGTGCGGAGGAGATGATGGCATTGCTGCAGGTAATTAGTGGTGCTGCCTTCAGTCCAGGCACGCCATGTACATGTACGCTCTGGCTCCGGGTGTCCTGGGGGAGAGGGGAGAGTGGCAGCTGTGGCAGGTCCATCTGGGCTGGAGCGCCTGAGGACAAGGCGGGCTGGAGGACGCACAACTACGGAATTAAGAGGAATACGTCATTGGATGGATTCCCAACAGGGATGGCAGAAAGTATGCTCGGTTTGTGCATTTCTGTGACCCACTTCCAAACCTTCCTATTCCCTAAATGGAATCTCCTTCAATTTATAACCACTCTGTCTCTTTTCTGGTGCTAAGAAGCCATTATCACTGTGTCTACCCTGGGTCCTCACAGCTGTCTTTAGATGCCACTTCTTTTTACTGCAATAACAATAACCTGTGTATGCAGCATGTCGGCCAGCCAAACAGCTGTGCTGCCTGCAGAACTAAGAGATCTAGCAGGGCAGCCATGTCTGGAGATGTGGAAGGGAAAAGGGGAGGGGAAGAGGAAGGGAAAAGTGAAGGGAAAGGGGAAGGGGAAGGGGAAGGGGAAGGGGAAAGGGAATGGGGAGGGGGAAAGGGAGGAGGAGGGGGAAGGGAAGGGAAGGGAAGGGGAGGGCAGGGCAGGGCAGGGCAGGGCAGGGCAGGGCAGGGCAGGGCAGGGAAGGGAAGGGAAGGGAAGGGAAGGGAAGGGAAGGGAAGGGAAGGGAAGGGAAGGGAAGGGAAGGGAAGGGAAGGGAAGGGACATCACATTACGCTACATTTCTTTCTGGATCACTTGGATGACCAGGGTTATCTGAGACTCCACACTTCTAAGCCCATTGAGTCCATTTCCTCCAGGAAATCCCATGCCAGTACATGGGTCTCCCACCAAAATAAGAATTAAGATGTAGAGATTTCGGTGAGAAGTGTGGAAGGTTGACGTGAGGAGGTGTGAATGGGAGTGCTGAGGTGTGGAGGGACACAGGGATGGCAGGTCCCCCGACCAGCAGACCACCAAGACTACAGCACATCCCTATGTGTTTTAGTGGAAAAAAGAAAGTAGATCAGATTAAAATAAGGGCCAGGCAAAAATTAGGAACTGCTGGAGAAACAACAGCAAGAAAATAAAGGCAAGGACTGGAATCATAAGATGCCTGGTAGGCAGGCAAAAGGCAGAGAGCAGAGGGGAACTGATGCACAGTGACTCACAGTGGTGACACAGGGTGGACAGAAAAGGAACCTGGAGGGTACCAGAGGCTCACCCCAAATCACTCACGCGTCCCAATCTCAGAAGCCATAAGGCAGAAAGTGGATTTCGCAGTCAGCATCTCCTACGGCTCCTGTGTCACAGCAAGTACTGTGGATAGATTACGTGGATATGCACGTCCTGGCACTTCTGAGCATGTGGGCATAAGAGAATGCCTGCGAGGGAAATCAATTTCATTTTAAAATAAAATCTTCATTTCCTGTATGGACTTGTGCTGAGTTTCGCTACATTAGCTGAGCTTTGTTGCTGCGACGTTGCAGCAGATATGCTTTAGATTCCAGATGTTTTGAATTTTCTGTCTATTTGTAATAATAATGATAACAATCATACAGAACAAAATAATTCTTACAGTTTTTGTACATAAATTGAAATGTTTCCCAAATGTTTTGTGAATGTGTTCGAGTTATCATTATGTACAATGAGGGAGCAGATACATACTGTCCTGGCTTATTCCTGCGGGGCACCCACTCCTCTGGAAAATTATCTTCCCTGTCTAAGAGAGTTTCCAATTGCAAAAATGATGATGGCACTGATAATTATGATGACTATTTCTACCAGGAAAAAGAAATATGATATAGAAATGCGCTGAAGTACAGTCAGATCTGAGAGCGCGTCTCAGTAATAATTTAAATTAAAAATATTAAAGGCGTGTGTTGTCATTACCCAA